CCAAAACACCCTCAGACACCAAAGACGGGGTCCTTTAAGAGCAACAACACTATTACCCATTAAAGGCCAATAAGTAACGCGCTTGTTCCAGCTTCAGGGCAGAATATTTCCCACATTACTGTGGTAGTCTGTGTGAAAATGGAAACAGTTGATTCCCATTGGAATTCATTATAGTAAGCTAAAGCAAGGTAACAGAGAGATATAGGATGTATGCCTTACCCATTCGTTTGTTGTGTTTGCTAAAGCACACTTCACTATTATTATTGCTCAACTTAAACCTAAGCACTTGAACTTCAGCACCTGTTCCTGCACCATTTGTGAATTCTGCTTCAAATCATGTGACTTGAAGAAAGGTGTGTTATATCACTTATATTGAATGAAAGACCTGAGTGATAAATAAAGCTTCCAAAAGAATATTTCCACAGAAGAAGCATTTTGAGTTCCAAAAAAGAACATTTTGGTATACAGTTCTTAAAAGAACCTTTAGTGTGAAGGACATTTTAAGCATCTAAGAAGCTTTTTCCAAAACAAATACCCTTTTGTGGAATGGAAAGAATCCATGGATGTTAAAGGTTCTTCATGGAACCACAGATTCCAAGAAAATACCTTTATTTTTTAAGAGTGTGGGACCAGAAAATGTCATAGAAACATGTGGTGAACTCTATTGATTTGGCATAGTAAGCAAAAACCTAGCAAACCCCAAGAATACCCTATGTCCCAGCAACCATAGAAAACATTCTTGGAACTGTAAAGCAACACTCAAAACACTGAATACCTGTCTAAACAGATAGTGGGAAGGGTGACAAGATATTTCCTTCTTGTTTTGACTTGATAACGTTGTCAAGCAAAACGTTGGTCCTATTTGCATGGTAAGTTAAATATAGCAGAGGGCAAGGCTAAATTTATCAAACTAGCCCCAAGCTTGGTCTTATCTTTACTAAAAATAGCACCGTAGCTGATGGTGTAGTGTGGACTGCTGTCAGTCGTCTGGAATGCGCTGGGCTGGACAAACGCAAGACCACGGGTCAACTGTGATGTCATTTAGGGGACGTGGGAGGGATGCTGGGAAGGAGGCAACAATCCGGGTAAAACGGAAGATTGTTAGGTGTTAATGAACTTGAAAGTGAATGGACTGAAAAACCAAGTTCCTTCCAAACATAAAGACTCGGAGTAGACTCACAGAACTTTACTTTGAAATACATTCCCATACATTTCAATGTTTACTGACCATTATATAGTGACCACACAAATATGGTGAAGAAGAATATGTAATCATTACATTAGATAGCTAAACACCAAAGCAAGTGGAATTTATATGACAGAAATGATGGTCAAAGTGAAGACAATGGGTATTTTTAGATACCTTGAGGCTGTCAAATGTTAGTGGAACATGTTGTTAGTTAATGTGATGAACTAGACCGGTGGTTGCTCTGTGTGGGACACCTGTGTGAACTTGAGAAGAACTGATTGTATTTGCATATGCAGTATTAATCAAACTGACCCCTTTGCCATATGACCTCATTTTCTTACAAGCAGGAAACTGCTGTTATCCATTATTTATTGAAATGGCATGATTACGGTAATATACTTGCTTTGTTGCCACTAGGTCCCATGATGAAACTGACAGGCTGAATGTCCAACAGACCGTCCTGTGTGTTATCATCTGTGAGATTCCTTCAGTGGACACGCATACAGTATGTGTGACTACAAAGAGTGTTTTATTATCCCTTCACATGGTCACATTGCTTGGATAAGAGATTGTTTAAATCTAAACTAAGAATATTAAATATTAATTACTGAAGAAATTCCCAAAGGTAAAAAAAAAATTAAAAAATGGTTAAAAAGATTTTTCATTTTACACATTTACTGCCTACAGAAAATATTGTGGATTTAATTTAATTTAATTTAATTTAATTTAATTTAATTTAATTTAATTTAATTTAATTTAATTTAATTCTATTATATTTTATTCAATTCAATTAAATTATATTCTATTATATTCTATTATATTCTATTTTATTTTAGTGTGTGTGCATGCGCGCGCATTAAGGTTTTTCATTTGTAGTAAGTAAACTAAATTGAACTTGTAATAATTTGTAATTGTAATAATTGGACTAACAAAATGTTGTTTTATCATCAGTGAAAATTATATCTTCCTATTAAAGCGAATTTAGGTGAAATGAAGTTGTAAATAGCCAATAAATAAATCAATAATCACACAAACAAAAACAAATAATATGGTCTTTATAATAAATAAGATAATAAAAATCAATAAAAAACATTTTATTAACAAATCGCACATCTACCTATCTATCTATCTATCTATCTATCTATCTATCTATCTATCAGAATGGGGTATACCCCTAGGGTTCAAAACCTAGGTCAGATCACCATGACAAGTACTATCCGTCCTTAACAAGTCACATCATTCATGTTCTTAGCATGTTGCAAGTTAATCATAGCTAGATTTCATGTTAGGAGTTTGCTGAAATCAATAACCCTCTGAAAAATAAGTAATGCTCCCAGCAAACGCCACTAATAATACTTCACAGGAGAAACAACTACAGTCTTTGTCTCAAAAAAAAACAAAAATCGTCTTTTACTTGTTTTGATCCAGCTAAACTGCTTTTCTGAAGAGTGATCTCAAACATGCAGCGTGTGAGCAGCTAAAGCCTGTAAACATTTCCATTTGAGACTCATGGCAAAATCAAGTGAGGGAGAGGTAGAAACTTATCATCCTTCTAACAAGGCCGCTGGCTATACTCAGGTTTGGGTTGAACATCACGAGAGGCCTGGCTCAAACCAATAAAGGCCCGAGGCTGGTTTCCACCCAGCATGAGGAGGACAGGTGGCCAGGGCTTGACTGATGATCTCTTGCTAGCTTTCCACTGGAGCACAGTATGAAGGCAAACAGGGACTGATTAGCATTTTAGCGGCCATCGGCATCTAGAACAGCTATTAGGAAAACAGGTCGGAGGCCATCTGGAAGATATCGTTCCCTCTGCAAGCCTAATGACATGTGGCTATAAACATTTTAAAGACTAATTGTGATGTTGAAATGGCTTATGTTGGAATTAGACATTTTTGAAAAGGACAACAAAATAAAGTAATTCTAAATACTGAATTATTACGATTTTGCTGATCTTATTTTATTTATTTTTTTTGTAACACATTATGAATATGATATCTTTAGCAAATAAATGACATTTGGAACAGACTGCAGTGCAGCCTGTCATTAAAATCTTAATTAGCCCCATTGGCTTCTCATCAGGGAAAGAGCAGTGCTCAGTGAACTGTGCTCGAAGTTAAGAGCTGCCCGAATGAAATATGAGAGAATATAATAAACGCAGCCAGCAGACAATGTGAAAGTAATGAGGGACAACGATGGGTTAAAGCTGAAGTGTGTCATTTCTGAGCCACTGGCGTCACCAAAGCAAATGTGAAAACAATGCTTGTTTTCAAACAGGTTTCCCAAACTGTCTGCCATTGGTCGTACGGTCTCACCACAAACTCTCCCTATTGACTGAGAGAGACAATGTTGCTATGCCAGTCCCAGAACCAAAGACCGTGTTTTGATAGAACCGCAAAGTCATGGTGTTTACACTTTTTGAGAAAATTAGAAAGCATTTTCTCATTAGCTGAAAAATTGGATTGATTTCCATTGTAGTGAGATTTGTGTTGTACATTTTTTTTGTGGTTGGAGTTTCAATGTGTTTCAGACATTTTGGTAAATGATTTGGTATTATTTGGTAATACAGGTGGCCACAAAGCCTGTCATACATATGGGAAAATCAGCGTAAAACTTGGATTCTGTGGTTCTTTCTATTGTTTGAAGCTTTCTGAAGAGACATTTCTTCTGTTTTGTTGGGTCATCTTTGTGTGTAAAGAAACTTTTGCATCACTACATAAAAATCCCACTGCTGTGCATTCACATCGCCTTGAGAACAAGCGAGGGATCTCTTTTGAGAAGACTTTCCCAGACTGTGAGTTAACCACACACTGCCTGCATGAAATCCATCAAACTGAACTGACAGACAATGGCTTTACCTCCTAAGGAAACTCAGGCTGGCTTCCAAGGCGTCATGGTGTCACATCTAATGATCTAGATCAAATTCAACTACAATGATTATTTCTCTGTAGAAATGAAACAATTTGGGGGAAAATAAAAAATTACAGGACTGTGGGATGTCATATGTATATGAAGGATGCATCTATGCTGCCTTCAAAACCTTCATATACTGCAGTTTTTCAGAGTTAATGAAACAGTCGCTTCTTAAGTCAAAATTAGGTTCTAGCTAGCCAGAGGGATGTTTTGCTTCATGCCTCATTTTAAGAACAGGAAAACAGCCAGAAACTCACCGTGCCTTCAAAACAGTCCAACCGAGATGCGTAGCCCAAAAAAAGTTTCCCAAAAAGTAAAATACTAGAAAAAAAATAAATAAATAGCCTGCACACTTCACCAAAAATCACAAATAAACGTTTACTGAAAAAACAAGGCAAACGTTTCGGTCACATGTTGCCTTTTTCAATGCTGAGTGATTTTAAAAACATAAGTATTGTGAATGAAAAAATCCAAACACTTGGCAGCTTCTGTCCAAGTAAAACATTCTAGTTCTTAATCTTAAGGTAACTTGATTTGGCAATGTGTGTAAGCCTTGAACTAAATGCACAAAGTGTTGGATAAAATGCTGTACACTGATTTGAATAGAGCTTACTGTAAGAAACACTGGGATGAGACGAGTGTAAGTGCGCATGGAGGCTATGGACTGTACCTCCATGATAAAACACGAGATGATGTTCTGCGCACTTGACATCTAATGCTTTGACAATTAGAAGGAGCCTCCTGCACGTCACCATTGTAATGGTCGGTCAACGAGGTGGGATCCTGATGAAAATGAAGAGCCCTCCCCGTAGGGTTTGCTCTTGCTTCCTGGCGAAATAAAAGCGCGCACCTGGACACGGTGCTTGGGTACGAGTGAAGAGTCAAGGCAGCCGCACACAGCCACCACATCCAGACCACTTCAGCAACGATGATCGCCAACAACATCTCTATTTTCTGCGTGTCTTCACTTCTACTTTTAAACTTGGTCGGTGCCAAACCAGTCACCAGTTTACAGGTGAGTCTTTCAGTCTTAGCTCACTCTTAAACGTTTATTAGACTCTGACTAATCATGCATGTATGCATATTTTATAGCAGAGTCTTAAGCAGTTGTTAGATGAAGAAGTGAACACGCCGTTTGTGGAGTCGGAGGAGTCGGTGATGGAGCAGAAAGATGCGAGATCCGAGAAGAGCGCGCTGGATGAGCAAATGTGGGATTCAGATGCGCGCAACTCAGCGCTGGCTGGAAAAGATAGCGCCATCGAGCGTCTTCTAGGCGACTTACTGTCCACTTCCAAGCGCTCCTGGAGTCGATTCAAGAAAGGCGGGCTGAGGAGCTGCTTTGGGGTCAGACTCGAAAGAATCGGGTCTTTTAGCGGACTCGGGTGTTAAAGCGGAGGTTTGTTAGGAGATGTTGGCGAAATATAAACATGGAACGTTGTGCAAACGCGTATTAGAAATGAAATAAGTCATGTCTTATTACTTCATGTCATGTCACTTCTTGCAGGTTGGGACTTTGAAATACTTGACACACTTTGGCAGGCACATCTTCGATAAAAAAAGAAAAAAGAAGAAGTGTTGACTGAACGTTTACCGTAGATTTGTGTTCAGGTGATGCTGTATGTGTTGGCCATTATTTATTTAAGCTGTAGACATGTAAATAGTTTGTATTTGAAGATTCCATGACTGCTGCTTTGTACCGTTGCATCTATTTATTTATTTATGTATGTATTTATTTATGTCCTCTATAAATCCAATCGTGTTATAGACAATGTATATTGCTGCAAAATAAATATTTTGCATAACGTGTGAGTCACTGTGGTCTAAAACTAAAGTGAGTAAATTTGACAATGAACTTAGAAGATAAATTAATGCATATATGCTAACATAATGCATTAGCATGATGCATATGTAATTGTTTTCCCGTTAAAATAGACATAAAGAAATCCATTCAGGCAAAAATCAAAAACTAAAATTAAAACATAGTTTTGCTCCTTGCAAAATAAATTGCATTATATTTTTAGTGTTAACTTTTACCATGAATCAATGATTAAAAAGTGCCAAGATGGCCATAAGGGTCTATTTCTACCTGAGCTAACATAATGTAAGTCAATTTTTGACGAATGAAACTTTTATTCAGATTTCCATGAAAAAAAAATGGCTTTAATTATAAGCATTTTACAGTGTATGCTGGAGCTATAGTCCAGTTTATTGTGATCACATGGATAATTTATTGACATAAATAAATATCTGTTGGTGAGATCTATTGAATTTAGGCATGACCCAGAAACACAAACAAAATACTAGAAAAAGTAAAGTAACACATACATTGACTAAACGTTTATGATATGAATTATTTCACAATGAAACTTTCCTTTATTGTCATTCAATTTTAGGTGTTATATAATCCAGCCTATAGTTTGTTTGCCTATATAGGCTCTAACGCGTTCTCACTCCCATCTCGTCACGTATGGACTCTTTCAGGACCCCTTGGCGTCCGTTTTTACGCACTGGTGCCCCTTTAGCGTCATTTTTCAGCGTGTAGGGAACCCCACTGCTCTCAGTTGTTTGCTCTGTGCGTCATGTCCAGACGTATTTCATTCTTTAAATGGGTTTGTAAAAGTAGAAATGATTGAAAAGTATTTCACGAGTTGAGAGTGAGAGCGTGTTGGATTCCGAGACTGAAAAGCAACAGACGATATGAGCACACAAAAAAAAAAACACACTGAAATGATCTTGAGAATGAGACATGAAGAGAAGAGGACTCAGGCATTGTGTTCTTAAGATGCTTGATTTATATGAAAACAATCATTAAAACACTGTAACTGGGACAATTGGTAATTCCCTCTAACTCTGTTGACCTGTTTTCCCATATTTGTTATGAACTGGAAAATCAATGTGATTCCAGCACTTTAAATCAGCTCTGTGATACACATGTAATCCTAAACTACAGATAGGCTACTCCGGTACCAAACGGGACCATTTTGGATTCCCCAAAGAACTTTTCAGTGAGCAGTTCTTAAAAGAACTGTTTTGGTCTTATAGTGTGAAGAATATTATAATTTTCTCAAGAACCTTTTTCCACTATAATGAACCTTTTGTGCAATGAAAAGGTTACATGGGTGTTAAAGGTTGTTCATGAAACAACTGATGCCAAGAACCTTTATTTTTTAAGAGTGAGGCCTGCATCTAATCATTTTCTATAACTACTCTACGTTTATACAAATATATTTGGAACATGCATTGCACCCATAGTGTCTTAATAAACATGTATTGCTATCCTCCTCTTTCCTACTTTCATATGCTTTACCAGTGTCTCAATTCTCAATGAGATCTTTCTAGTTGACAGTACGTCAGCATAGCAACAGCTGGTCCAAATGTGCACAAATATATATAAAATTAAAAAGTCAACCCGATCTCATAAAACTATTTTACAAACTGGCGATTTCGTATAAAAATCTTAAGATTTGTATAAATATGCATGACGCTCCATCTGAGTGAAATCATATGAATTATCGGTAACACCTCATTATCGGACCAATTCTCACTATTAACTATTAGCTTATTATAATGCATATTACTAGCATAGCTATTGGCTGTTTATTGGTGCTTATATAAAGCGCATTCTGCATGATATTCTACATCCCTAATCATACCTAAACTTAACAACTACCTTACTAACTATTAATAAGTAGCAAATTAGGAGTTTATTGAGGCAAAAGTCAATTGTTAATAGCAAGACTTGGACCTTAAAATAAAGTGTGACTGAATCTTGAAACCATTGATTAATGTTCACAGTTAATACTTATTAATGTATTTTAATATATTTTCAGCCTATAAACTGCTCACTCTAACATTATACAGTGTTTGTTAGTGACATTATTAATTATTATTCAGATAAAGCGTATGTAGCCTACTGTAACTTGCCTTAAAGTGCCATGCAAGCCACTTGATGTGAATGATTTCAGGGAACAGGGGTATAATGAAATCATGAAGGTGTTCCCGTCACTGTATGGCCCATTTGGACTCGTCTATAAGCTTTAAAGGACTGATTTCCGACAGCAGCCTTTATCAGACTGAGGTGTCGGAATGCACCGCCATTCTTCACATAACTGGCGTGTCAAACTTTAAAGTATAAAAGAGCTTGAGGCTCCGCTGAGAGAGTATAGGCCTACAGACAACGACCAACGAGACAGAAGAGCAGCAAAAACATCAGGAAACATGAAGTCGATTGACATTCCTCTAGTCGGCCTTCTCTTGCTCTTCAGCGTTCAGCTCATGGGCGCCTTCCCGCTACAAAACACAGCCTTAACCACCGAGGACAGGGATGTCTTAAAGGTAAGACGAACATCTCATGAAAATACGTATAAATAGTACGCCAAATAAAAGCAGAAAATCGGGGTGTTGATACGGAAAAATTGACTTTGGCGTGCATATGACACGCATTTACCCCACAGCGCTAATCCTATACCCATTGCGTATCATATGCAATTTGATCAATTTCTGCGTATAAACAGTACGCCAAATCGAAACATAAACTCGTGCAATTGAGACGCACATTCATGAGATCGGGTTGGAATGAGACAGGACTCAAACTTGCTTAATAATGCTCACCCAATAGGGCAAACTAATGAGCCACATGCGGCCCTTTCAGCTTCTTCTACAGCGACTGGAGGAGTCCATTCCCGCTTCTTCTCAAGAACAAACACTGATGAAAGTGGAAGAAGAGGAGGATAATCCTGAAGTCACCCGCGTTGAACCTCAACCCAAGACTGACATGAGGGACTATCTGTCTGCTCGGGACCTGAGGACAGTCCGGCAGGACTCCAAGAGATATTCCGGGTGTTTCGGGCACAAGCTGGACAGAATCGGCTCCATGTCGTCCCTGGGCTGCAGCACCGCCGGACGCTCAGGTAACCACTTTATTTATGTATCGCACGGTTAATATGGACATGACATACTTTGAATAAAAAAATAAAGAACTGTTTCTGGACAACAATTTATAATAGTTTTCTCGACCCGTTAATTTACAGGAATTATATTAACATACAGGTTTATGGTTCACTAACTTACACATTCTCTTTTTTTTTCTCTTTTTCCAGGTTCTAAGAAGTGGTGAAGTCTTAATGATTAGGAGCTTCTACACTGCAAAAAAGTTAAATTTTTAGTGCTGGTGTTACTTTAAAGAGTTATTTCTACTTGATCTGACCTTACAATGACTTTTGTTGGTGTAACCATAATGTATTCAGGTGGATTTAGTAATATTCAATTATATTTTTGACATCAACAAAAAACAAGAAGTTACTATCAAAGCACATTTCTAGGTTACCTGACAAAATATATATTTTTTTACTGTTATTATCTATGACGCCAGAAATTGTTCTTAACCATGCATATTTATTTAGATATTTATTAAATTGTTTAAATAGTCCAGTTATATATGTATATGCATATGTTATTGAATTGTCATTCAGATCAGTTGTAATAAATGTTTACACATGCCTTTGTTTCCGAAATCTTTTTTTTTTTTTTTTTTTTTTTTACCTGAACACATGCACCATGAGTTTTCAGTGAATATATAATAAGCAATTTATAATGTGATATGGTTATATTGAACTCTGGAATATTGAAGTATAGTTTAGGATGAAGAATAAAGTTCTTGCACTGTTTGCCCGACAACAACAACATGATCGCATTGATCAAACTGTCCCTTGGAGTCGCAGAAATTCCTCAGTACCTCCTCAGGGCATCATTATCAGTTGAACCTGTTTCAGCACCATGGAGAGCAGCAGTGCTTCACATTACTCAAGGGAACTCAAGGTCACTCTCCTGAGTTAGATACAACATTTCAGTGACATTCAGTATAATTTAGGCCTATGTTATCGCAAGGTTTGGTGGTGACATTTAGAACAAAATACTTTTCGGTATAAGTTGTTAATGAATAGGGGAAACCAGAGGTAGCTAAATAGCTCCAAACTAACATTGGCAAGTTGGTTCAAGTTGTCACATGTTTGGCACGTTTTATATCTAATTAAAATTTTTGTTGGCCAAAACAGTTCAATATTTTCCTTGTATATTATTATTATTATTATTTTAGTATAATTGAGACACTATTGTAGTTTTTATTAATACTTAGTAGAAGTAGTAGTAATAATAATAATATGAATAATAATAATAATAATAATAGGGTGGATAGGGTAATGTGGGACACTTTTTGCAATTTTGAATGGTCTCATATTTCCATATGAAGCCAAAACGATAAATCAAAATCTCTTATCGTTATAAAATCCCCAAGATGTTCCCTTATTATATTAGAATAAATTTTTCAGATATTGTACTTAAAGGGGAAATTGCGCATATATCAGTGCTCCTTGTGCCAAATCGTTTAAGAATTTGTGGATTTTCTATTGTGGGACAGCTCATGCTCAAATCTGGGACACTATGTTTTGGGTTAGAAATAGTTAAATTTTTACAAAGCAAACTTCATATTTAATGCTCCTGGTTAAATGTGCATAACCATGTTTGCTTAATTAATTTAGTAGGCCTACAGTGTGTTTGCTGTCTTCATCAGTTTGTCTTATATAGCCTATATGTTCACATGTGGAATGTTAAATACAACTATATAACAGAAATTAAACTATTACTATTTAAAATAATTTATTACAAAAATGTCAGATTTCTGGCAGCAACAATAATAATAACCAAGTAATGAAGTCAAACATGTAAAACTGGACAATAATGATAGCAAAATAATTTCATAAACGATTAAAAAAGATTTAACATGGAACGTCTTTAAAACTGTTAAACTTAAAAAATTTAACTTCTGTACTCTGCACATGGTAAAAATATGGGATATGTATTTTCAAAAGCATGTGCTAAGCAAGCTGTGATGATAAAAACACTTCATAACAAAAATTAGTAGTCCTTGTTACCATGGACTCATCATGGTCCAGAAACCCATTGTCCTCTAGTCTCTAAATTTTAAATCTGGATCTTAAAACAAATAATATTTCTGCATTATAAGCCCAAATATTTAACAAAAATACATGTATGGCATTTAACTTTCTTAATGCACATTTTATCAATTGAATAACATAGCATATTTGACTGTCCCACATTAGTCAAAACATGCTGTCCCACTTTTGAAACATCCTTTTCTAAAGTGGGACGACAAAGATTGTTTCAAATAGAAAATATTCTTAGCACATTTTAAAAATATTATTGCACATTTTGATGTACAACAATAATAATAATAACAATTATAAAGTTTAGTTAAAGCTTTGGTACTTTTTGGTCTGTATTTGTCAGTTTTATTCTTTTTATTTTATTTTCTATATAGTTTTCATTACTTTTTCAGTTATTTTATTTTCTACAGTTTTAGTTATTTTAGTACATTAAGTTAAACTAGAAGAAAATTTGAAATTTTAATTTGGCCACTAGCTAAAATAAATTTGATACGTTTTTAAGCAGAAATTACAAAAAAAAAAAAATTACACACACA